TAGTAGTATTTTTGGATTATAAAACTAATGATTGTATTAGAATAAAAATTCAATATGTGACATTTTTTGAAAAAGTCATGGTTTTTTTTGTGTATGAGGAAATATCAATATAATTGTTTTTAAATTAATTTTTGATTGATTTTTGACTAATTATTCAAACATACAATTGGCCATCTATCATTTAGTTATCGTCTAAAAATGTGTGAGTTTTGAAATATCATATATATAATAGTTGAGTTTTCACTCACATGAGTGTGACACCTTATCATTCTATATTTTGACACATAGAATTTGAAATAATATAATTTAAAGAAAATCATATTTAGGAAAATCATATAGTAATCGAGACATTTACTTCTCTCTTTCTTTCTTATGAACTTTTGGTTTCCGTATTCAATCCATTAAATTCTCTTATCCAATTTCCAATCATAAATTTATTTCTCACATTCAAATTCTTAAACATGTGCCAGACATGCCATGTTCTTCATCTTCCTATTCTCCATTTTTCTTCTCCTTCCTAAGGGTTTCAATAATCGCATTTCTATATTGTTAACAATTTTGTGCGTTCAGAAGGTCTCGCCCTTCCAACTACTCTGCCGTTAAGGTGCGACTATATAGATTTTCGTTTCTTCAGTTTCTTTGCTTCTATATAGTGGTTATTTTGTTTTAAAATAAGAGTTTATATCTATGAATCATAATGTCAAATATTCAATGGATCTTGGTGTTTGACATATGATTGGTGTTGTTATTCCTGTTGAATATGATGTTTATTGTAGAGTTGAATTGGTGTTGTTTCTCGCTGGATATAAAATGATAAGGAGGATAAGAATAATTTTGGTCTATCTGTATCTAAATTATAGTTTCCATATCTTTGCTTTTATTGATTTCTTAGTGTTTACAAGTCTGGACTCATGGATATGCTTGAGTAAATTCCATAAGGTGTTTATAAGTCTTGGTTTCACAAGGACTGTCGATTCATGGAAGAAAAGGTGAGGAAACACAAAAGCGAAAATAGGGTATTTACGATGGACAAAGTTTGATGGCCGTAGTAATTTTTTAATGAGATGACAAATTGACAAGTTGCATCATCTATATTTCCTTTACACCAAAAAAAAATTCCTCTAATTTCTTTAATTTTGTATCACAAAACATAAAAGATGAAAACAATTTTCCAAAATATGGAATGAAGTCACTAATTTTTAATTTACAAAAGTATAAAAATAATCATGCGCGTATATGCGGGGGTATTCACCTAGTTAAATTTAATAACAAAAGTTAAAATTATATCTATTATTTTTGGGAAAACATACTAATTCCCCCCTCCCCCAAAACTTTCATATCCTCCCAGATCTCGTATTATTTCCCCACTATTTCCCCACAAACTGAATGTTTAACGTATCATTTCCCACAAAATAGAATTTTAATGCTTATTTCACCACAAAATAGAAATTAAAATAATATTTATTTCAAAGGATTTTAAGAAATTCTCAAAGAAAACTATTAAAAATTTTTAATAACGTGAATCAAATTTATATCATATATACAACTAGAATATGATCGAGTAAATACTATAAAATTAATAAAATAAATATTTAAACTTTAATTAGTAATCTATTAAATTTTAAAATATTATTTAACGTGCATCCTAAAACCAGTAAAAATTAATTTATATCACAACTCTCTTTTTTAAAGACATATCATGCAAATCCAAAAATATATATTATCAGAATTTAAATCATATTTTTAATAGTAGAGAAAATATATTTTAACATGAATATTTATTATTATGTGATAGAAAATAAAAACAACTAAAAAACTATATAGTTAAATAAAAATGAGTAAATTTTATGTTAGTAACCTCATAAAAACTATCATATAAGTACATGATTGATAATTATATTTTATTAATGTCTCATAGAGATTTATACTCGCCAAATTT